TTATATCTGTATCTCTCTCTTATTTCTGTCAACTTCCATCGACGTGTTTCTTTTCGTTTCTTTCTCTGTGCTATGAGAGTGACGTGGAAATGACGGCGGCCCTCCCTTTATCACAGGCGTGGGGCTCCTGACCTGACGATCACGATTCTAATTTTGGTAACGATAAAGTATAACCCTTATGTCCCCCTCCACTTGCACCGGTGTGCTTGGATGTCACAGTCAGGGTGCAACTATGTCTTCCAGGAACAGGAAACAGTTGGCTGAGAACGTTGAGATATGCAAAGGGGGTTTATACTTTACTTTTACCTCAATTTCGACAGAGAAGGAAGAAACATGTCTTTGAATGTTTTATGTTTTCCCTTTTAACTTTCACTGCATGTAGCAGTGTTGTTTTATTTTTTTCTTTGTGAATCCAACAGCTGACTGTAACGACGTGGAAGTGTTGTGTGTCTGGAGAAGTGTCGGTTTGTTTGTGGTGAAAGACATACTGTCACCGTCAGAACACTTATTGCCTCAGTCATTTTTATTTTCAGATCTCCCGGTCTTGGTATGATAAAAGTGCCCATTCCTTGTTTTGAGTCTTTAATATAGCAGGAATTTTGTTTGTTTGCTAAAAAATCCAATTATTGAGATATCTTTACCTTTGCTCAGGTCAAAATAAGTTGTTTTTGTAAGTTTTCCCAAAACAGCAAAGAAAAGATTCAGGCAATAGTGTTTTGACTTTGATGAATTGATAGTATATAATTTATTCAAACTGTTGCATGATTTTGTTTGTTATGAATGACATTTGATTGTATTAAATTGGTACAAATTGTTTTCGTGTTTTTTTGTGGGTTTTTTTTACATGAATCATTATATTTGATGGCAGGCCTATTAAAACTGACACAAACTATTGCATGAAAAAAAAAATGAATGATGTTTGATGGCATTTCATTGACACAAATAGATGGTTCTAGGTTTGTTTTGTTCTGTGGTTTAAGACTTTGTTCTGCCACACATGTTTAATCATGTGTATGTAGCACTTCAGGATTTTTTCAAATTTTGTAATGACGGGTAAAAATTTATATCTGAATCCGTACAATTTCCAATATCTCAAAATCAATATTTTAGAAATTGTTTTACCCAGCACTTCACGATGAGTGTTGATTTTCTTTGTATATTATAAATGGTTATTGATGAACTTAATTAATTCTGATAAGATCTCAGTTGAACGTTTATGGTACATTTGATCTCTAACCTCTGAGCCAGTTCTATAAATTTCTCCTTGTTCTGTGACTGCAGGAACCTCAGACGTTTTGGCAGCTTTTGTTGATGTCCAAAGTACAGTTGGAATTTTCTCAGATATAATGAAGTAGAACCAAGTCATTTTTCTCATCTTTTCAAATAGTCCTCACGTGAAGTACCACCATCAAATTGATTGTTTTCGTGTTCTCAGATAAAGTCAAGTTGGTTCAGGTCAAGTATTTCATGTTCTCAAACAAAACGAAGTAGGACCAGATTGATTTCTTTGTGCTCTCAGATGAAGTGCAGTAGGACCAAGTTAATTTTCTCATGTTCTTTTGATATCCAAAAGGCCTGTTGGAAATCTCTTCTTAATCAAAACAGATAATATATAGGCCTATAGAATTTGGTTTGCATGGTGTCTATGTGTATGCGTGTGCCCACAGTCTACAGGTGTGGCTGTGAGTGCATATATCATATGATAATTGTTCTTGAGCTTAGTTAAGCCAACATGGGCTAGAAAATGCTGACTACAGTGAGTGCAAGGACATTTTTATGTTTGTGAAGTAGACCTATTCTGGCAGTCTGTCTATTTTTGGAAGATGAAGAAAGTGGCCACCACAAATATTGCAAGTTGTCAGGTCATGTGGCTTTTTTGTCAGCTCCATCTCTGTAATTTATGCAAGTTTGTTTTACTTTACACGCGGCATGGCTGTCTTGTGATAGCATTATGTTTCTTACTGATGTGGCAAGACTGACAAGTGAGAGGACGCGTGTGCGTTGAATGTTTCAATTTGATGTTGGTTTTCTTTTATCAAAATAAAAGAGTGAAAATAAAATACTGCAGTGAAACTGTTTCCTTGCTGTGTACATTTGTTTTGTATAGTTTCATATTTCCTTGTTGTTGACTATCTCTCTCTGTCTCTCGTGTTTGTTTAGTACATATGTTAGTGATGGGCGGTTAGTATCCCGGTTATTGAAAGCTAGGAATCGTAGGAATCGACTCTGAACCCAATTACTTACTTTCAAATGATATGGTTTCTTCCGGTGGTTAGGCCTACTTGGTTGGCTCTGAACAACTTCAGGGTTTATGATATAACATTGCTTTCGGAACACTACGAAGCATCAACTTTTTTTTTCAAAACTACATTTTAAAAAATAGAAGATTTTAATGATTAAAGTAACTGGTAACCGTTGGTTTACGTAGAAAGGAGTGGGAACTTTTCTTACGTAGCATTTAACTTGGGAATCGGATCCGGAATCGATCCTTCGCCCAGCTCTAAACTGTGTATTGGGTTCAGCTAGTCGTTTTCCCATCTTCCTTTTTTTTTGTCTGTTATTTTTTCTGTACCTATGCTCTTTCTTTCCTGTCAAACATCTGTCGTCCTGATCCCTTCTCCTTTTTTGTTTATGTTAGTCTCTTTCAACTCCTCGCTAATCTTCGATGGCATGATCTACTTGTGTTGCAAGTACCGTAAAACACTAAAAGTTTCCGTTTAGAATTTTATTTACTTTTTCCTCTCTGTTGTTTCTGTCTCCAGACTTTGCCTGCATTATAAGACGGTTACTGTATAATGTGGTTCTAAGACCTAAGATTGCGGAAAGAGGTGAAGAAAGAACAAGAAAGACCAAACTATGAGAAAGAGTTAATATCACAATCATTTTACAGAGCTCTCTCTCTCTCTCTCTCTCTCTCTCTCTCTCTCTCTCTCTCTCTCTCTCTCTCTCTCTCTCTCTCTCTCTCTCTCTCACTCACTCATAAAACACACCAGAGAGTTTACAGTAATACTGTAAACCCTCTCTGACACACACACACACACACACACACACATTAGCGCACAGCCGCGGGTCAAAGGGCAAGGGAATATTTTGATTTTCCAATGAGAGAAGAATTCCATTTGTTTACAAAATGGCTGCGCCCTTACGACCGACCGGAGTGTTGTGTCTGCTCTCTCGGATTCACAATGTGAAAGTCAACAGTCGCTTAAATGTTCAAAATTTTCCCCAACACTTTTACAGCCACTTCTCTCCATTAGCTATATATAAATCTAAAGCGGGTTGTGTATCTTTGACGCTTCCTAATGGAAGCTCAAGGAGAGGAAAATATGTGCTGTCAAGGCAGAAGTCTACCGAAAGCTCCACAAACAGGACACACATTCCCGAGAAAGTTGGACCAACACAAGACGGGACTGTGGTGACCAGCTCAATCAACGGAGATTTGAACAATGGTCGTCTTGGTCACTTCATGCAGATGTACGAAGACTTTGTAGGACTTACTGAAGTCAAACATGCCCAAGACAAAGTTGTGAAGGTGAGTCACGTCCACCTCTCCCCCACCTACACGACACACTGCTACACGCACTTTGTCTCTGCACAACCTCCTTTATATCGTACTCTAGATCTAGAATCTAGTCTAGGCTAGATACGGAATGGTGACGAATGTGCTGTGTGTGTAGAGTCCGGCACTTGAAATGGTAGGTCTTATCTGGTCATTTTGGAGATTTAAAAGGTTTTTACTGATTGGATCTTGAACTTGAGTTCAAGTGGGCTGCGTTAAACCCTCACACTTTTATGTTGTCTGGTCTGGTGTATGTCAAATGTCACTCTAAATCCAGTGGTGCATGCACTGCCACCTAAAATTGTTAACCTTCAGAATGATTGGAATTTGATCTGTCACTGAAGTGTCATAAGAATTTTGGGCACTTTTTCGGTAGTTCCCACCCCACAATTGTTATTCGCTGGTTTTGACCCCAAGAGAAGGGGGGGGGGGTTGTTTCAGGGGGGCTAAAAATATGGTGGGGGGTTTCAGGGGGCATGCCCCCCTGAATTTTACCATATATTTGATGTTTTGCAGTTGTTAGCTAGCTTTAATATTTCTTAGCTTGCCACGGATCAAACAAGTATAGATCTAGATGTAGATCTAGGCTCAAATAAGTGGGGTGGGAACTACAGAAAAAGCGCCGAATTTTGACGGACCAGAAAACTAAAATTGAAATTATTGGGGGTGTACTCATTATTGGGAAAAGTATCTTTTGTGGAATTTTAACTTTGAGGAGACATAAACTTAACTTCACTTTCTGCATGAGAGGCATTGAAATTAATCCTATAGCAGCTTTTTTATTGACCCTCTAGTCCAAGTTGTCAGGTTTATTATTTACATTTACAGTCTATGAGAGACTGGGCATAGGAAGGGAGGGTGGAGGAGACACTGTTTCATTTTATTTCATTTTAGCCTTTCCATGGAATGTGTATATCTCACTCTCCACCAGTGTGAATTGTGAATACCCTTTGCCTTAGGGAGGATTGTTACTTGTACCGTAATAATTAAGGACATTCTTTACTCTAAATCTAAAGATTAAATGCAAGCAAAGTTCAGGCTTTTTTGGGTTTCATTTACATACAAAGCTCTTTACCTTTTCATGTAACAGGGAAGCCATTGCATTGAGTAACTAATATTTGTCTCTCACCATTATTTATTCTTCCACTGTAGCATTCATAGTAACCATAGTCCTAGAGGGCTATCTGTATCTTTCTTTGTTATTTATCCAACTGCAACATGCATTGCCGTAGAGTATGATAGAGTCACTTTTCTTTCTTTTTAAACTATGAAGTTCACTTTTTAATCGTTCTTTATTATTCAGCCGTAATGCTTTTATCTGTCCTAATTCTCCAGCTCTTGGTGATCATTAAACTTTATTAAGACATACAAATTCAAATGTAATTAGTAATGTTCTCGTGTTGAATTGGCTTTACAATTATTTGTTTGTTTTTCTGTTAATAAGGTGCCACTGGTAGGTCCTACTTCTTTATCTTCAGTCTTTTATTTCTGTCTTGCTTTTTCAAATGACTAAATAGCCCATATTGCAAGGATGTGTTTCTCTCAATCAAACTGTGCTGCTTTATATCAATTTTCACGATACAGAGTAGTTCCAAAGCAGTTTCTCTATGGTCTACTCCTCTGTTTAATGCTTTGATGTTCCCTTTTAATTTCGTTGACTCTCCCCAGACAGAGCAACAGTTTTTCTTTTTTTGACTTAGTCTTACTCAACTGTTTAACTCTTACTACAAGTCGTAGGCCTACTCTTTGTTTTGTTGCAGCAAGCTTTGTGGAAAATATGCTTGCATGACGTTTGCATTTTCATCATGAAAAAACCCCCAAGTTTCAAGCTCCAAGTTTTTTTAAACTGCCATGTTCAGAAAATCAGAAAAGAATGAAGATTTGATTTATATGAGGATACTGCAAGTGACTTGTAGTACAGACAAAAAGATATTCTTTATAATATTATATGATAAATGAGGAATACAAGAAAAAGCATTTTGCAGCATTTAGTCGCAGTAGATGTGCCAACCTGTAGCAAGAGTTCATGTCTTGACGTTCCTTTTTGTTTCATCAACTCTCCCCAGGCGGAGCAGCAGTTTCTCCAGGTACAGGAGGACAGACGGACCATGCAACAAGAAATCACAACGGTGCAGGCAGAGGTTCGAACCCTGGGGGCAGAACTAGAGAAAACCAATCGCACAGACTCCAAGTACATCGACCTGGTCAAGAAAGAGCACGAGATTCTCCTTGTAGAGAAGGACATGACCAATAGGATCAAGGCTCTGGACAAAGCCGAGAGGGATTTCTTCTCTCTGCTCAGTGCAGCCGTCCGCGAGAGCCACGAGAAAGAGAGAGCCCGGGCGGAGAAGACCAAGTACTGGTCCATTATCGGCTCGGTGATTGGAGCTATTATTGGAATCGTGGGGTCGACCGTCAACAACCATCGGAGGATGACGCAGATGAGGGCAATTCTCACTGAGTCAGGGGAGAGCACTGCAGAGTATAAAGCTATGACAGATAAATTGTTACAAACTATTAGCCAGAATTCAACTTCCGAGAGCTTTCATTTTCTCCAGAACACAGAGAGTAGTGGTGTGAACGTACAAAAGCAAGGATTTGAACCCGATTCCTTCGTGGTCAGTTCGCAGCTGATGGAGAAACAAAGGGAGGAAATTCTACACAGCATAGATAAACAATCAGCGGCTGTTATTTCTCAACTCGACAAAATTCACAGACTTGTAGGAGTCCAACGAGCCCAGCAAGGGGAGACAAACGTGGTGTACGTCGGGCCGGAGATCCAGACAATGTTAGAGAGTACGCGGGAGAGTCTAGGAGAGAGGATGAAACAGAACACGCTGGCGTCTACTGCGGCTATCTCCGGCGTGTTGTCCATCGGCGTTCTGGCGCTGGTTTATGTCATCAGAGGCTCTTCCTGACCTGTACCGTCTACCAAGGGTCTGTCCCCGTGGTTTTGTGCGCCCGGCATAATTTTGCGAAATTTGACCCTTTTTTTGCATAATTTCTAATTATTTTCCTTTATCATTCTTTGTTAAAAAAAAAACAATCGCGTAATTTCACATTTTTGGGCTCAGTTTGCATAATTTCAGAATTTTTTTTGCATAAAACGACGGGGACAGAAGGGGGCTGGCTAGTGTGAGGTATTCCAACAACTTTCAATGTTACTTGTGTGGCATTGTTGTGAAATCCAGCGCTTGTTAAAATAATGTTATCATAAAATCAAAGAAATCTCCATTTTTCAGCTTGTTGGGCAATTTTCATCTTTTTAAAATTTGGTTCATCACCTTTAATGTCCATTGAAAAACTCATTTCTACTTTGCGGATTTTGCTGAAGAACTTTGACCAAAGGCACAACAAATGTACATTTTTGCAATTTCCAAGAACACTCAAGCATGGAAGACACTTATTGGCAGCCATTTTCTCGCTGCTAATTTATCCTGTAAAACCACGTGAACCCCCACTTCCTTCAATCGCAATTTATATCTCAACTTCTATTTTAAGAAAAGATGAGTATTTTTCCATTAAAAATTAAGTCAAAAGAACAGGCTTTATTAAGATGATACCAATAACTCCATTATATGGCCAAAAATTGCCAAGTGCCCGATTTCACGTGTCGTGACACATTTGTTATCATGATGGTAGCACAATTACCAGTCATTTTTTTTTCAGGTTTCCAGATTATTGATATGGTAAAAATGCCTTTCACTTTTTTTATACCTGCAGTATAGCAGGATTTTTTTTTATGTACTAAAAATCCAATTATTAAGACATTTTCATTTTTGTGCAAATTATGTCATAAAGCTGACCCTGTTTTTAAAGATTTCTCAAAAAAGAAAAATATGACTCGAGCCGTTGTGTTATGATTATGACAGTGACAATCTGTACAGTATCAAGGTTACCTACAGGTGTCGCAAAAATATTCACAGAACCGGTACCCCGCAAGTATAAGTATGGAATGTTCCAGAATTTTTATATTTATTGATAACTCATGCAATCGTAATAGCCTACATAGCTCATGTCCCTTAGATGAATGCAAAGTCAACATTTCTATGTGCTCACTTCACAGGGAAAATCTGAAATCCCACTCGTTGCCAGAGGTAACCATAATCAGTGTTCGGTTCCAACGACACAATTCTGCTTGAATTTTAAATCCACTTCTACTTTATTCATTTAGATTTAATGCCACTCTCCATTTTAATGTATTTTTCACACACATTGAAATTTGATTATGTTTGGAGAAAAATATTTATGTAGGTCTCAAAAGAACAGATTCTTTGTGGTTTGATTTTTTAATTTAATTCTTATAAAAATATTAGGATCATAATCATATTTATGAGTATTACAAGGGGAAATGTCCAGTTTGAAACAGAACTTAAATTTATAAAGTTCTTGTATTGCAATCTTTGTTGTCAAAGATTTTTCTTATATATTTGTATCCACAAAATGAAATCTATTAGTATTAGTACCGTAGGCCAAAACAGAATTTATTAACAATATTGATCCTCAGGTCAGTGATGGTCAAAGTCAAAATGAAATGATTTATGGGAGAGGAGGTGAAGAGATACTGAGGTAACAGAGTGAGAGAGGGTGAAAGGGAAAGAGATGTGATGAGAGAAAAGAGAGAGAGAGAGTGAAAGGGAGAGAAAGAGATGCAGAGTGAAAGAAAGAACATTATTTTGTTATAGAGAGAGAGAGAAAGAGACTTGGAGAGAGAGAGAGACAGTCAGTCATATGATTTACCATTGTCATCAATAACTATACAGAAACTGTGTTACTGGACAATTGTGACAGATTTTTGCGTGTTGTAGATCTGTGCTTTGACCTTTATAGATTGTTCACCTTTTGGATTGAATGTACAGTGAAGACTATTTTGAACTATTTAAATCAGTCAGTGGGCTCAGGATAGTTACTGTACTTTCTTTGGTTTAAGAGATCATTATTAATGTTAAATAAAGAATGTGTTCTGTTTCTAAAGTGCTTTATGTATAAAAATACAAAGACAAATCTGCCACAATCCTGAATCCTGATGTGTCCATCTCGTACTTAGACTGTTTCCTGTTTACATGTCGTTATAAAAATCTATATTTTTCTTAAAACTTGGAATTTGGACATAGTCATCTCTAGCTGTCAACTGTCGGCTGACGATATTTGTTACTGGATGTAATCCGACATAGATAGATATAATAAAAATCTGTGACATGGTAAAATAGTAAAACTCTGGTGAAAATATATCTTTTTACTCTAAATATATCTTAACCAGTAATGTGGAGGGTGCTTTGCCGTTATGTCAGTAACCATAAGCACCCGTAGTGAACAGAATTTTAGGTTTCTGAATTTTTTTCTGGTGCAAGTATTTTCTTTGTATTTAAAACACATACAAGGAAAAGATTTCCGAGACCCACCGATTTCGCTACATGCGTGCTAGACTACTGCCGTAAGTGGACAAAACGCCTTTTTTCATTTTGGCACCAAAAATCTGTCATTTGCTAAATCAAAAGCCTGATCAGAAACCCTACTTGTACGAACAAATCAAAGTGAAATTGTGAATAGTTTTTGAATAAATTAGAATTCAAATTTTGGAAGCACTTTATTTTTCAATGGTTACATGGACCAAAAAAAACTCTTTTTCTCGTAACAGCTATGAAGAAAAAAAGGCGTTTTGTCAGCTTACGACAGTGTATGCCTTAAACAGAAATGTGGTGGGTGCTTGGCTGACATTTCTCAGTAACTATAAACATTTGTAAATGTTTTACATGCCCTTCGACACAATTAGATACCCAGGAGGTGGGCAGCTTGGACCACTGTCAAGGCCAAACCTGACTGAGTAGGATACAACATTCTGGCCCAAAGACAAATGTGCTGCGTGATGACAAAATGAGTTACTTCTTGCAATGCATAAATTGATTAAAAGGAGATATCAGCCAAAAATGGACGCCGGGGTCGAATTTGTAAATTTTAAAGTGATGCCATATTCTTCAAGTTTAATATGTCATATTATTTCATACTAATAAAGTGTACAAACTTGACCTATAACTTTGACGTATAGGGCTAAAATAATCTGAGAAGTAACTTATTTTTGTCAACACACCTCACGTCATATTGACTTGTTTAAGCTAAGCAGACACACGTGTCGACTCAATGATGGTCATTAAGAGTTAAGAAAAAAGTAAGGTAGACAGAAACAAAAGAGGGCAAAAGAAAACAAGCAGCACCTACCACTCCCCCCCTCCTCCACCCACACACACCACAGACAAAAATTTGAGAGATCAAAGAAAAAAAGTAAAGTAAAACTTATCAGTGGCACTCTCCAACCACCCCATAATTGTACTTCAGTGATCAGACAACACATCAATCAATGTAAAAAAAAAAGTCATTTTAATTCTGTACATCAACAACGTCAAATTGACAGTGGTATTTTCCAACCGTGTAACTGAAAAATCCTCCCACAGAACAAGGACAGATCACTGTGATTACTTACATAGCTGCCAACTTTACAACACCCAAACACAGATTCTCCCCACTCGGTGGGTCAAGATGGTGGGCACTGGCCAAGTAAGACCCCCTCCAAACCCGTCATACACTTTTCTACATTCAAGAAATTCAAGCTTTTCAAAGTAGACCTGCGGAAAAATATTTCTCCAACTGACTTAAGGGCTTCGTTCACAAGTCCATAATTTCTCTTCAGCATCAGCAAGTCCTTAAGGACCATTAAGCCTACCACCAGAGAACAGAACATGTATTTTCCAAAAGAAAATGAATTTTTGTACAAAAAGACCCTCAAAAGTGTATTAAATACATTGTTTAATGCCCTGGTTATTAGCATCTCGGAACTTATTTAGCAATGAATTGAAACTTCCTGAAATTAATTTTGAGCAGGGAAATTTTTTTTCAAGAAACCAGCTACACGATAGGAACAAAACATCATGGAAATATCTGCAGAGAAACAAATGGAGCAGAGGTCATGAGGTCGCGGCTGAAGTGGAGGGTTGGTCCTGGTTCTGGGCCTCTGCCTCGGCCTGGACTTGTTGCCACTGGTGGAGCCAGGCCGTGGGCTCCGTGTCGTAGATCTGGGGGGAGGCACAGTTGTGGGGTTTTGGTAAGAGTTTTACGGCACTTGCAACACAAAACAGGTCACAATATAAGAGGAAAAATTTAGAAGTGTTTACTGGAGAATATAAGGGAAACAAGGAGGAGAGATATTTGTTGCTTCAGACCTATTTTGTCCAAAGTGCCTCTTTACTCTGTCCCCATGGTTTTATGCACCCCGCATAATTTAGCAAAATTTGATCATTTTTTTCATAATTTTTTATTATTTTCCTTTATCATTCTTGGTTAAAATTAACAGAATCGCATAATGTAAGAATTTTTTGGGCATAAAACAGCTGGGGCAGTTTACTTAAGTACACTTTGGACAAAATAGTTCTGAGGCGATGATATATACATGGGTGATATCGGCTTGATAGGAAAGAAGATGCAAACCACACCAGAGCACCTGTTAACTACCCACTCAAAAAGATCCGTCAAAGTCCCACGTACAGATAATAAGAAATGGATATTTAGAAAAAGGGGGACTGTCTTAGACAATTTCGACTGTGTTCAGCGAGAGAATCACATTTACCTGGCTGACAAAGTTAAGCGCATCTCGCTTGGAGAACTCATGCTTTGCCCTCTGACCCCAGGCGATGTCCTTGACCTGCGGGTCGGTGTTGGGCTGCGGCACCAGCTCCAGGTAGCCCTGTCGCACAAATTCCTCCATTATCATGCTCTTCACATTCCCAAACGTTCCGTGCTTCTCGCTGAGACAAACGGAGAAAGGAGAAATAATCAATCTGACATACGGTAAATCTAAGAGAAAAGGGGATCAAGGAAATACAGTAAAGAAATTGACATAACATCGCCTCCGACTCGGAACTATTTTGTCCACTGTGCCTCTTTAGTTTTAAGTACGCTTTGGTCAAAATAATTCCGAGGCGACGTTAAATATAAGTATAGTATAAGAGTGAGAGAAAAGGAGATAAAGGAAATACAGTTTACAACTCGACATAAGTCTAAGAAGAGGAGAAAAGAGAAAAATATGGTAAAAAAATTATACTTAAATCTGAGAGAAAATGAAATAGAGTAAAAAATTCAACTTAAATCTGAGAAAAGAAGAAAAGGGAAATATATGGTAAAGAATCTGACATACGTATACAAGACTACACGGTTTTTGTTTGTTCTTGTAATGTTTTACGACGCTCTCAACCGCATAAGGTCATATGAGCGCCAAGGGATGGATGTCAACAGAGAACTCCAAACGGGGAATCAGGCTTACTCTGCTCACCTCTCTAGCCTCAACAGAACAAAATCTGCTTCGACTATCAAGTTAATATCCCCCCTTTGGGAATGGCCTGAAGACAACTTCAGTCAGTAGCACTGCAATGGTGGGGAGGTGCTACACAGTTTGTAAAAATATAAAGACTACAGGGAGAAAATGCAAAGTCACATTTTGGCTTTAGGGAAATCTAAGTTTTATTTTAAAGTTAGGAACCTCAACACTTACTCAGATCGTATTCCGATTTTCTTGAGTGCATGCCACAAGTCCTCTGTAGACACAAAATTTACATAGATCGATACATGAGCAGACGTGTTTAACATGAAGCTGTTCATAAATAAAGGAAATTCCTGCAAACATGAAAGGATCAGATTCCCCGACACTTCCCCACAATTTATGGCATTTTTATCAATTTGAGTAAGGAAAATAAAAACAAAAAAACATCCAGATATTCAATAAATGTAAACTGATTTAATTAACTCCTGCCCCCCCCACCCCACGGACACAATTTGCAATTTGGATTATTTAACATTTGAGAGGCGGGTTGTTTTGACCCTACCTGTCACAGCATAGGTACAACACCACAGCAGACATAAATATATTATATTATAATAATAACTACACTCACATAGTGATATATTACCTATATCCATGCTCCACAGCATGCTCTTGCACTTTACAACTATTATTGCCCCAGCAGACCTGACCTGAGAACACTCAGAAACACTCTCGGCTTCATGGGAAGCATACATAACGAGCAACTGAATAAACGCTCAAACTCAAACAATATCAAAGTGACGAACAAAAAAAAACAAAAAAAAAAGAAATCCCCCCGAGCTTCACCTTCAGTGATGATGTTCCCATTCATGAAGATGGTGCTGAGGATCATGGCCAACAGTGCCATCTTTGCCTCGTCCTCCGGGGACCTGGGTCAGAGGGTCATGGACAAATTGAAAGACAACAGAATTGTAAAGGATTGTAATTTGTAATAATATAAATAAAGATAATAACAAAAATAATAATGTAGATCATTTTTATAGCACTTACTTTCGTGTGCCCACACAACTCTAGGAGCTTTAAAGAAATCCAAGTACAAATTCATAAATGAACAATAACTGAAAAAATTATTTGCTCATACTCATATGCACACACAGAAGAATTGACATACACACACACTCTCACTTATTCACACACACCTTCTCTCTCATCACTATGCACGCAACAAAATTATGAGTGAGAACATACAAAAAAATAGTGTAATATGCGATCCCTAGGTTGATTAAAATATACAACATACAATAGATAGGCCCAACATAGTCATTTAAATTAATACTGCTCTGAAAATGAAGCTACTGAGTTAGGAATAATTTAATTAAATATGTTTTTAACTGAGACTCAGATGTTGTAAATGAAGATCACAGTAGTTACAGGGGACAATACAACAGTCCTATTTTTAACTACAGTACGGTACAGACGCATTTTTTAAAAACTTCAAGTTATACTGTATATGGGGGGGGGGGGGGGGCCCTGAATTTCCTGTGACTCCCCCGGATTTGGCAATCAGGGACTTTGAGAGGACATTCATGACGCTGCACCAAAATCAGTGCCTCTAAATGAATGTAATCTTTGTTCATTGTTACAGAATCTGATGTGGGTGGTTGGTGGGTGCTCCGGCGTGGTCTTCTCCTTTTTTTCTACTATCAAACATCTTTTATTCTTATCTCTCTTCTTTTTTGTTTGTTACTCTCTTGCAACACCTTATCTTTGGCCCATATATTATGACCTGAATGCGTTGTAAGTGCCGTAAAACTCTAACTAAACAAATATGATGTCATAACATTACGTGTCCCTGTTGTGGGTTTTGAGAAAGTTGTTAAGTGTGGAGGACCCACCAGGAAATGTGTGGACTGCTCGCTTTGTTGTTCAGTTTGTTGACCAGAACGTAACTTCCCTTCAGCTTGTCCTGTAGCTCCACCACTTGGAAGCCAAACACCTGAAACAACATGTTACACATCTTAACATGTTACACATCTCAACATGTTACACATTTCAACAACGCGCCTGACACATCTCAACGTTATACATCTCAACAAACCTTACGCATCTCAACTTGTTACACATTTCAACAGCACATTACACATCCCACAATACTTTACGCATCTCAACAACACATCACAGACTTCAACAATATATTTGTGTGTCTGATTTGAGCAGAGAGAAACACACTGACACAATAATGGTCACTTTGAGTTGGGGGAAAAAAAGCAAGAGAGAGATAGACAGAAACAAACAGGAAAAGTAAAGAAATAGAAGGACTTAGCAATGGCATCCTCCAACTAGCTGCAACAATATTGCTATTGGGCATCTTAACAACACTCTATGTCAATAAACATCTGAACAACACATTACATATCTCGCACTACATAACACTATTAACACATCACAACAACACGTTAGAAATTTAAACAACATATTACGAATCTCAACAACTCCTAAAGTACCGTATCTCGACAGATTACACAGATCTTTGACAGAGTGAAAGGCACTCAACATTTCTCACCTCTGACAACTTCTCCGAGGCCTGCCTCATAAACTCAGGAAAACTCCGGCTGCTTTCTTTCAATATCTGTTTGTTTATTTCTGGAGACAAAAGGGCACAACAAGATGTTGAAAATAACTTTCAGTTTGTTTGTTTGAGTAAAAAGAGAGACATAAAGACACAATAATGGTGACACTGTCGGGATCACACTGAAATTTTTCGCTAACCCCTGAACTTTAACGGTCGATCCGATAGACTTCCGAAAATATTGTGCACCCCTTTCCACATAAGTTTTAAAAACGCAAGATAAACCTAAATATAGACACATTTCACTTGTTTTCTATACTGTTCGTGCCGTATCTTTTCCCCGAGCTGTCTCACTCGCATCCGGTCTACGATAGGTCCCGCTTAATCTAACCCGCGGATCGAGAGGCACCATAGGGCCGATCTCAGGCTACTTAAGGCCTACCGAGGGCCTACTTACGTCCAGGGTGGAACGACCGCCGCGCGAATTTCGGGAAGCTCTCGCAACCGCGGAAAATCGCGGATCTGCTGAAAACTGTGATCCCTGCACTGTGTGAGGGGAAGAGTAAAACAGACAGACAGAATCCACAGAAGGAAAGAAAAGAAGTAGTGGCGTATCAGTAGCATCATCTTACAGATGGCACATTCAGTTCTACCAGCATGACTCCCTAGGGTGGGGAGAGGGAAATACAGTACAACACAGATAGGTTGAGCACAGACGACTCAAAATCACACATCCATCGAACTGTGCCTGTAGTCCCATTTTTTTCTCTTTCCTCTTTATCTTTGTCCGATATCCTTCGAACTACCAAGGCCGGTCCCGAGGAATTCGAGCTATCCGTGTTATACTGTACTTGATATTACTCTTACAATTTCAGCAATGACAAGCCATAAGTGACATTTGCCACAGCTATCACAAAGCTTGCAGCTCAGACAATCCCATGTATTCTTTCTTCTTCGATCAAGTTTCTTTTCCTTACCACTTTTCTTGACAGGGATTTTCTTTTGGTCCTTGACTAACAAAAACTGTACCAGTTCATTCACCTGCGGGGGAAAAAGGTTTCATACATTTTAGTACTAATTGTAGGGATACCACTGGAATTTTGTGAAAATATCTGAACATTTATGAAGTTGAATATTTTGCAAACAAAAAGATGTTTAACAAACACAGTATATGATTGCACTGAAAGCAAATACTTAAAATAATAACTATTCTTCTAGTAAAAATAACAGCAAAACTCCCCTGAAAACGGCATCGCTGTAACTGTGTACCAAATTCGAAACAACAACTGTTAACAACATGAGTCACATGTAGAATTTGGGAAATATAATTACACTTTGGGTATCAAATTAAAGATACAGTCAAGCATGCACATAGCAAACACGTACACATAGGGAGATGCGCACAGCAAACAGATTTTGAGGCCCAGCTTTTTTTCTCATACATGTTTTTAAAAATTAAAACATGGCCCTAACAAAATTCATACACAACGAAAGGATTTGTGTGACCCATTGATTCTGCTATGTGCGTGCTAGACTATGCTGAAACCCAACCAGTGGATGAAAAATGTATAAATAAACCTAGCTGCTTTGGCTCCAAAGTAACAATAAAAAAATATTATTAAAAAATGAAGGTTTGCCTGATATCTCAAAACAGCTGAGTGCAACATGGACTCATTTAGTTGAGTTTCTAAAGAACTGAACAAAACGAAAAAATTCAGAATCAATTACAGAATATTAGATGTGAAATTGTGAATCGATATCATGAACACTCCTGATTTTAAGAAAACAATCATATAAATATGAAAGAAACCTTTTTCTCCACTTCTACTGGATCCATCTCCCTGCTGGCCCGTGATTGGTTCTGACTTGATGGCACCTGTGACAGCTGACTGGAGTTACCAGCCCTTTGAGATGCCTGGGAGCTTGATATCTGACTTTGCTGTAGAGAAAACATGCAATTTGTATAAATAAGGAGCAGTACTATAAAGTAGGCACTGATGTGTCACAATGGACAATTAGAACTAGTGCAGTACTGATTAAAACATATCAATATGAAATTAACAAAAACATAGTACTGAGTGAGTTCAATCTGTTCTAAACTGTCGCACACATAATATGTTCACCAAAATAAGAATCAGAATCAGAACTAAAAACAGCACATTCATCACTTGAATCTTCAACAATGGCGACACTGTGTAAAGAAGAGCACTCATGCTAGGTCTACTCGACATTTAAAAAAATATTCACTCCAATCATTTTTATTAAAAACAAACTGATCCCGTGCTCAAAGGCCACACAAATCATTCAGGAGGGAAGTTATAACTTTAACAAGTGCGAATAGGGGTTGGGTCAGGGTTAGGGTTAGATTTTAAGTCTCTTTTTTATTGTGTAGAAGTACAGTGGAACTTGGATTCAACGAGGTTGCCAGGCCTGACCTAAAATATCGTTGAACCCGAGTGTTCGTTTATAGTATAGCAAACATGAGGTTTTGGGTAGATAATAATTTACAGGCACTGAGCAAGTAATTTAGTGTAAAGAAAAGTAACAAGTAGTAGTAGACTTTAGCGTCTGAAAGGTGATCTATACTTTAGCACGTTAAATTCTTTAACTTTAATCGCAGTGGCTACGTTCACGGCGCCGTGAACGTAGTCTGCAGGCTAGGTTCACGGCGCCGTGAATGTAGTTGGCAGATCTAAATCTAATAGTGGTCGCTCGTTTCGGAAGTCCTCAATTAAAGTTCGCAGTGGCTACATT